AAGCCCCCCCCCCCCCCCACCGGCTGAACCCTCTTTTTTTTATCCTGCGTCGCCCCCTTCGGTGTGCCTTTTTGCTCGTTCCTCGTCCTTTTTCCGCGATCATCTTACAACGCGCACACGGTACATCGCTGCGATGGCGGCCTCCGTTGCCGCCGACACAAAAACAAACCATTAATAAAATTAAAAACGAACGAACGAACGAACAGCCCGAGAACATCCTTGTCGACGCCAAGGGCCATCTGTGCCTGGCCGACATGGGCCTGAGCAAGATTTTGGGCACGGGCGAGAACGCGGTTCGGACGATGACGGTGTGTGGCACCAGGGCCTACCTGGCGCCCGAGATGGTCCTTCGCAAGCCCTACGGCCTGTCGGTGGACTTCTGGCAGTTCGGCTGCTTCGTGTACGAGCTCTACGCGGTGCGTTGTTGGTTGCGTTTTGTCGCATTTCGTAGATATTCCGCCCTTCGTTATTTTTTCCGTTGATCTCGTTTTGGGAACACGATGTGTCGTATTATAGTGCGTGTTATTGTTTCGTTGACCGCTATCCGGCTAACTCATGACAAGATGGCAGTCTCGGTGCGACTACAAAGAAAAATGCTCCTGGAGGGCGCGTTGTGTGTGCTCTTGTTTGATTGGCATCGACCGCGCTACTGTGTAGCTGACACTCCAGCGTTGCATCAGGAGCAGCACCAGGTGTTCCGTGTGACCCACAAGGCCACTCACGTGACGCCTCCATCGCGAACAAGTAGCGTGGCGGTGGTGTCGGTGTCGAGTGCGAGCGCATTTTTGGTGGTGGAAGGAATTCGGGGTATCATAACCGTTGCTACTTAAATACCGACCCCCAACTCCGAACGAAGCTTGGCCCCTTTCAGGTAAACGCGGCGTTCATTTCATACCCGACGGAGCACATTTCTTTCGTTCATGTCGTGACCCTCCCCCTCCACAGGGCCACTCCCCCTTCTGGAAACCGAGGTCCGGTCCCCCGGGCCGCTCGCACGACCAGACCGTGGCCCTCATCCTGGCTGGCGAGATCCACTTCCCGAGATCCATCGGCCCCGTCGCCAAGTCCCTGATCAAGGACCTCTTGAGCAAGGAGGTGGAGTCCCGCCTTGGTTGCAGGCCTTCTTCTCCCTCCTCCTCGTCCGTCCCTCCGCCGGCAGCACCGGCTTCTTCCGCTGCAGTGGCGGGGGCGGCGGACAGCAGCAGGGACCCCGGGAAGTTGGCCGCGCGGCCCGCCGCCGCCGCCGGGGGCTGGAACAGCGTCAAGCAGCACGGGTTCTTCAAGGACATGGACTGGGAGGCGCTGCTGAGGGGGGACGTGGCTGCGCCGATCAAGCCCGCGGACATGGGGCGGGGCATGGTGGGCAATTTCGCGAGGGAGTACACGCGGCAGCGCGCTGGGTGGGGCGGGGACCAGCAGGAGCTGCGCGACGTTGCCGAAAAAGAGGGGCTGTTCAAGCGAGAGCTCATGGGCTTCGATTTCGTGCGTGGTTGACCGATGGTAGAATACGCGATTACTTTCGAGTCTGTTGATAAGGTATGTCTGCGTGTGTGATGTGTCTGTGAGTGTGTGTGTATGTGTGTGTTTTGATGCTAGTTTTGGTCGGCTCCTGAGAAGGGAGACAGAATTGTGACGGGCGCTCTCGACTAGACACCAGGGACGAGTCTGAATTTGGGCGGAGGGGGGGGGGGGGGGGCTGCCCTAGATTTGTTGTGCTTGTGTTTTGCGGCCTCTCTTTATTGCCCTCGACATTTCAGCCGATCAATACCGTTTCCGAATTGAGTATTGGACGATGTACCACGTTATGGACTACCCGCGGGTCTTCATTCACCCAAGCAGGTAGTTCTCTGCCTACGTTTGTGCTCCAGCTTCGGTGGACGTCTTTTGGCTGTGTTTGTTGCCTGTCGATCCCGGCCCATCTAATACACCTAGAAAGCAAGCAGTAAGTGCCACACATCCAACGGCGGTCCCCTAAGAAGGGCAGCAGCGCCCAGTTGCAGGCTTTTACCGGCCTCCGTTTCGAGAGTTTCGTGTGTGGGTGTGTGCTGTGTGCTGTGCGGCTTGCGTCCGGTTCCGGGTCCGGTAGGCTTTTTTTATGGAACCTTTCGTTCTTTCTCAGCACGCAACAACGAGGTTGGCGCCTGCGTGGATTGTTTGCTGGTGTGCTGGCTTGCAGCAGCAGCAGCAGCAGAGGATGTTGGCGCAGATTTTGGGTTGTGCTTGTTGTGCTGGCTTGAATCAGCAGCAGCAACAGCAACATCAGTGCGGCAGCGCCAAAGAAGGGATGTCGCATTTGTACAATTTGTCTTGTGCTGTAGACCAGCGGAGGAAGTGCGGTGCTGTCCCACCGTTCTGTTGTGTGTGTGCGCGCACGACGACCCTTGCATACCTCCGATAGGACCATTTTTGTTCTCGTTTTTTTTTGTTTTTTGTTTGCTAGTTCCGTTACGGTGGGTGTGTCGGTGTCGGTGTTGTTGCCGGGTGTTTTGCCACTTTGGCGCACCCGAGCGAGACACTGCTCACTCATTATAGGTCCTATTATTATATATTATTGTTTGTACACTAGTATTGCAGTACGGGGTGACCGATCAATCACCTTGTCCCCGCGCAATTATTTGCCCGTTTTTTTTTGTCATCTTTTTTGTGTCTTCCCTTGTGGCAGTAGAGCAGGCTCCCGTTGATACTTGTTTTTTGGTGGAAAAAGCGTTTGGGATTTTGTCGGTTCCGCGTTTTTGCGTAGCGCTACCAGTGTTCGTGTTGTAGGAGCTGCAACCTCGTGCTCGCTAAGCGTGCTTGCTAGCTGCTTGTTTCCACCACCGCAGCAGCAGCAGCAGCAGCAGCAAGTGCCCTCACGGTCGCGCCTTCGTTGTTGGGAGAGGCCGCGCTCGTTTTTGTCGTGTACTTCGTGCAACGAGCGGCAGCCTGCTGCTGCGGCGGAGGCCATGCTCTTGTCATCCTACCCAATAGGCTGGAATGGAAGGATGGCAAGATTGGTGTTCTTAGATTGTTTCTGCTGCCGCTGCTGCTGCTGGCAGGTCGGTCTGCGTGATGTTGCCTCTGAAGGACGCGTCGTGATGAGGAAAGAACCTCGTGCATGCAATGCGCCTCTCCTTCGTTGGTTTGCGACAAGGTTTTGGGTGGTTTCGTGCGGCGTGTGGCGGTGGGTGTGGACGTAGGGAAGGGGGTCCGCGACCAAAGAGGGGCGTCTTGTTGGGAGTATGAAGATTTACCATGGAAGCGAAAAAATTAAATCGGGAATATAAAAAGTTGTGGACTGGTCTAGCTGTACGGAGAACATGCTTTGGATGATTTTTGATGACCTGAACCAGCTCGTGTTGGTGCAGATGGCGGGCAGAGGTGGGCGAGGGGCAAGGATCCCTTCGGGTGCCTGGCTTTTCATACTTTTTTGTGTTTGCGTTGGTTGCTGCCTCACAGCAAGAAAGTGCTTGTAGGAGCACGGCATCGCAAAAAGAGAGCGGCACACTAAATAATTTATGTAGGAGCGCTGCTCGTTGTTTTCCATTTGATGACGGTAGCGTTTTTTTTCTTTTCCCTCGTTTTTTGATTGTGTTTTTGCTTCCCGCCCACCTGTTGGTGGTTGATTGGTGGCGGGTCTAAGGGTAGAAAAGGGTAATCGTGATCCGTCCTTGTTGGGTGCTTGTTTCTTGATCCGGGTGTGCAGATATTGCGCAAGGTTGTGGCTGGGTGGCTGTCAAGGAGAAAAAGCGTCTCTCTTTGGCTTTGGAGAAGAGACCACGGTGGTATCGGTAGCGTCGTTGGCGTGGCCGTTGCCTCAGATATTGATGGCAGAACATTTCTTGCATGTCTTGCCAAACAAATACAATACATGATTTCTTGAAGAACCCCGTGCACAAAAGAAGACAAGAACGTTCCTCGGCGGACGTTAGGCGAGATGGAACCCCATTTTGCCTCGGTTTCCATCTCCAACACTCTTTCTGCGGTAACCATGAGTGGTGGTCAAGTAGATAATGTTGTGCGGAGTGGAGAACCCTCACTTCGCACAAGGGGGATGATCGCACCACTTTGTGTTGAAACGGTCAAGCACCCTCGAGGCAGTCACAACAGTCTTCAAACTATCTCTGGACGTGAAAGAACCAGGAAATGAATATAGTCGTACGGAGCTGTCATCCGTGCGCAAGGAAGTACGCATGCCGAACACCCATAGCAGGACGCAGCGCGCCCTTCATGCGACTCGCCGAGTACCTTACGGCGCTTCGCGCTTGGTGATGTGGGAGCCTGGTCCGGTGAAAACCCGGCGTGCTCCGTCCCGGCTTCGCAGGTGTGCGAGGTCAATGGTCGAACGACTATATTCGGCATGCACAACTGTGAGCACATCCCCCCACCCGCGTTGAGTGAGGATAGCTGCATACTAAAACTCCAGTGACTGACTGGTGTGCGAGAGTATCAGACACAGGCGCGTGAGGACAGCTGCATATTGAAATCTCACGGGTTGATGTTGGGATTGCCGGACGCATAGACGCGTTGGGAGAGGATAGCTGCACGCTGAAACCTCACGGGTGGATTGATGCTTGAAACAGCCGGACGCATAGACGCGTTGAGTGAGGAAAGCTGAATACTGAGACCTCATGGGTTGAATTGTTGTTTTTGTTTTCACATTAAACCGTATGTCAATTGCTAAATGCCAAAATCTAGCAAAGACTCAGCCCGTGGTCACGAAAGTGCTAGAGCCATCTGAGGATCTAAAGACACGCACACATATAACGAGAAAAAGGTGTCCAAGAGCCCGAAGAGGTACACCTAAAAATCCCTGCAGCACCGTATGCGTGCCCAAAAACTGAACTGCACGTCCGTCCCACCGTTCGAACCCATGGGTTGAATAAAGATATACATACATACGGACGGACGCGTTGAGTGAGGATAGCAGCATACGGACAACTCGTGGTTGATTGTTGTTTGAGATTGCCGGACGCATGGACAAACACGCCACCCCAAATATAGCCCCCATAGTACGCGCTACCAAAGACGCGTGACGCATGGATGAGTGGAGTGAGGATAGCTTACGGAAACCTCACAGGTAAAGTGATGGAGATTGCCGGACACATAGACGTGTTGAGTTACTACAGCTGTATACTGAAACCCCAAGGGTTGAGTGAGGTTTGAGGTTGGCAGACACATGGACGGGTTGATTGGGGATAGCTGCATACTGAAACCCCACGAGTTGAGTGATGTTGGAGTGCCGGATACATAGACGCGTTTAGTGAGGATAGATAGACACATACTGAACCTCACAGGTGATTTGTGACGGAGATTGCCGGACACATAGACGTGTTGAGTGAGGATAGCTGCATACTGAAACCTCACAGATGCATTGGTTTTTGAGTTTGCCAGACACATAGACGCGCTGAGTGGGGAAAGCAACATACTGAAACCTCACGAGTTGAGTGATGTTGGATAGTGCCGGACACATTGACGCTTTGAATGAGGAAGGACACATACTGGAAACCTCACAGGTGATTTGCATTGGAGATTGCCGGACACATTGACGTGTTGAGTGAAGATAGCTACAAACTGAAACCTCACAACAACAGATGGATTGGTTTCTGAGTTTGCCAGACACATAGGCGCGTCAGTAAAGGCGAGCGGGGGGGGGTGTTTCTTCCGGGTGGGCAGGCACAGCTCTTCACGACATTTGCGTCTGACAGAAGAGGACGGGGGGCGGGGGGCGCACAGCGTTACCTGCTCGAGCGCCTTGGCGTGGCCGTAGTGGAAAAGGTCGAAGATGCCGTCGGCGTACAGCCGAAGCGGCCTCCCCGTGCTGGTCCCTGGCGATCTTGCCGCCAGCTTCGCCAAGTCCGGCCTGAAGCCGTTCGGCAGGAAGGCGATGTCCACACGGGCAGGCAGCGGAGGAACGTTCTGCCGTGCCATAAAGGCGGGGAGATACGGGAACGGGACACAGCAGTTTCGCAGACAAAAAAAAAATCGAAGGGTAGGCTAATCTTCCGAATTCTGAGTTCCTTGCCACTGCTGGATTTGGAGCGACTGATTGCCACCTGATGCTCACTCTCCTTCTTCCCCTTTTCGACAAGGGCAACCTAATCGACGATTTTTTTTACCATCTCAACAACATATTTTCACGCCTATCTATTGGGCAAGCCTTGCTCCAGCAGCACGACGAGGCTTGGACAACCAATTACACCGTATACACCGTGTGAAGAGCCAGGGAGGGTAGGTGTGAAGGTCTCGCATCGGTTCGGTACAACGGATAACGGTGCAACAATAAGGGTCAAAAGACTGCGCGAACGGGCGCCTTTTCTTCTTCTGTCGTTTTCTCTGCTCTTTCTCAAACGGTGTTTTCCAAGGAAGGGCGTTTCGCCCGTTATCACCCGTCCGTGTTGGTCCGTGCTGTGGATATATTTTGCGAGAGGTTTTTGCTTGTAGGACGAGCTCCCTCTCGCCATTTGTCGTTGGTGAGCTTTTGATGTAGGAGGAGATAAGCCATTGCTTGTTTTGACACTAGACTACACCGCCGTGTGAAGAGCCGGGAAGGGTGTCGTTGTGATGGCTCCAGCAATGACGGTTCCGCGCCGATTCCGGAGTACCAGCGGAATAACTTTACTTGCTCTATTCTGGAGGGAAACAGCCAACAGCAGTATACCACTTTCCTTTCTCTCTTGCCTTTTCTCTGTCCGTCTCTACCTGGTGGGACGGCGACTGTGAATACATGATGTATACCCATTGACTCATTGACGGACCAGCAGTCTATTAGGCCAACCGGTCTGGGGCTACGAACATGTATCGGTACAACGGTCCAAAGAAACCGCGCGAAGGGGCGCCTTTTTTTTCGCCGGCGCGTTGTCGCCCGTTTTTTACCCATCCGGGTTGGTCGGCCGCTTGGGACTGACACCGCGTGTGTGTACAGAGCAATAGAGCAGCCTCGCTTGTTTGGAGAGGGTATCAAGCTCCCAGGACCACAGAATCAGCAGCCATGGCCCTGTCTCAAAGCCCCGAGGTGCAGAGGCCACTTAGCTGGTTGACCACGGAAAATGGAATGGACAGCACCGCCGCTACAACAATAACCTCCCGCCCTTGAGTGCATGTCCTCACAGGTGGCCAGTGGGCACGGTTACGGGGGGATTAACGTGACATGTAACCCCTAGGCGTTCTGCAACCTGCGTAACCCGGTCGGGCGCACCTTTACCAACCTCCAAGGTTAGGCAGGCTTCCGAAACGCCGGTCCAAACCCAGTTAAGGGAAGTTTGTATCCGTGCTTCGTTGCAGGCGAGGTTGTCCAAGCCCGAGAATGTCCATGCCTTGCCGCGAAAACTATGTACCAGCCGGTGTCCACAGAGTACACGACACACCGATTTATCGGACATTCGCGGCATAAATAAAAAACCAAACTTCAAGAGTGCCGGCATTTGTAAGACCGATTTTTTTATTGTTGACTACCACTCTCCCTTCTTCCCCTCGCTCCTCGACAAGCTTTTGCTTAGACATGGGTTGTAGCGAAGGGGGGGGTCTTTCTGGCGAGCAGGGCTAGACTCACCCTCAAGGGATGACCGAAACCTTCTTGCTGCTGCGCATCCGCCGCGAGGCGTGCGTGTGGTGGTGGAGTTGGGTCGGCACTGATGGGGTCAGGCGGGAAAATGTAGATGCGCGGGCCTTTCTGGCCGTCGGCGTAGGCAG